AACTCGATCTGGATTTATGTATCTGGTTTAGCTTCCTGATTTAGATCTTGTATTCTGTTTGATTGTTACGTTTGACGTTTTTTTAGATCTTTACCAGTGCCGTTCTGAAAGTAAACAAAGCCAGCATGAACATGCCTCACAACTTATGTTACTTACGGGTACGCTTGAGGCTTGGAGAGACATTCATTAAATTCTTATTGTTCATAAATCAATGCGATCTAACTGGTGCAGACATGGAATTGCCGGTTGCATGTATGGTACCGATAGGACTATTTGCCCTTCAACGTTATGGGACCCACAGGGTCGGCTTCTTGTTCGCACCCGTCATAATAACATGGCTTTTCTGCATCAGTGCCATTGGTATATACAATATTTTCCATTGGAACACATGTATAGCAAGCTCTTTCTCCTTATTACGTGTACAAATTCCTCAAAAAAACCCAAATGTTGCGGTTGGATGCCCTTGGGAGGTATCCTTCTCTGCATCCCAGGTAATTATAACCCCCCTAATACATGTGTATATATGTGTACATAGAATTTTGTTAAACTTACCGGTTAGTTCAGTATTTCCAGGTTCAGAAGCAATGTTTGTTGATCTTGAACATTTTTTCCAGCTTTCGATATAGGTATAGGAACTGGTTATAAATGAATAAATAAATAAATAATAAACGTTCGTTTTTTTTCCAATAGACTTTATTGATTTATATTTGGTGGCATGAAGATTGCTGATAGCATTCACATAAATCGTATTTCCGTTTGTAATATACCTATATCTTCACTCCATAACAGCTTTTTGTTCGGTGTTACAATTCAGAATAGTTAAAAGCTCTTTCATAGGTTTATTAGTTGAAAATGAACAAAAATGCTGCAAATATTGGACATGAGACATTAGATTGCGCCGCGGCCAACCAGGTTATCAAGCCGTGCAATATTTCCTTTGCTATATATTGTATTAATTCTCTAAAATTGTTAGGTCTCTAAAATTTCCTGCAATCTTGACATTTCTTAGCTCCCCAATTTCATTCCTCTATTTCTTTGCTGTAATTTTTCGTTTCTAATTTGGTGGAACAGTCGGTGCTGCTGTAAAAATTTCAGTACAAAAAGATGGAGGCTTCAGGACTCATTTTGCAGTCGATGGCGACCGCCGAACGGCGAAGATATCCGGTGCGTATTTCAGTTTATAGAGTTACAAATTGGGTATTACTTTCCATCTTATGTAAATATATTTGGGCTGATTTCATTTTGTGGTGCATAAAACAATTGTATATTTATATGTACAAATTCCCCAAAATTTGAACTGTTTCAAGTGAGACTTCTGCTGCTTCCGGCCGCAACGTCTGATCTTGAGTAATTCTTTGCCTTTGTTTTTCTCTTTGCTATATAATAAGTGACCTGTAAGTACAGGTATTCAGGACTTCACTTGAATAATTTATTCACTTGGGTGTAGTTATGGTTGTGATGTTGACAGATCATTCACTAATCTTATATTTTTTTAACAGATATTTATGTTTACTTCAGGGTGTCCAATTCCAGATGAGCTATGGCGTTTCACGTATCTCGCTAATATAAATATGTATGTTTTGTTTCTAATTTGGTGTATTCATCTTTGATCACGATAATCATGATTATGTATATGGATATTTAGGGGCTTTTCCTATTAGTGAACATTAGAGATACAAAGGACCGACCCCTTTACACTTGACACCGCGTCAAAGTCGTCCTCGATGTGCTCATATATTGCTGGACAATGGAGCCCTTGTTTGTGCTTCATATGGCGGATATGGTAGATTATACCTCTATTCGATTTGTTTAATGTCAGCGATTTATTCTTTTCCTTAAAATGACTAATACATTAATTTCTGAAAACAAACTGATTTTATTGTAAAAATGGAATGCACAATATGGTAGATCAGGGTATTGTTGAGGAGGTGCTCTTTTCTTTCTGACTCAATCGTGACACGGAGGGTGACGTGGGAGTCCTTAATTTGCCGCCTCCATTTTATTTTCTTTCTATCTTTTTTTAGGAAAGGCGAACGTGAATATGGTCATTGTATTATGTGTTTTTTTGGGGTTTTCTTGTGATTCATTTGGGCTTTCTGAATGTGATTTCCAGCTTAGTTATAATTTGTTGCGGTTTAGGAGAGAGGGACGCTTAATTTTTGTGTTCATGCAAAAATATTGTTTTTTAAAGTTCTGTCAATCTGAACAAAAGTGCTCTTTCGTATTTTTCCGTTATTTATTTCAGCAGGCGTTCAAGTTTGTGGAGATCTTACGTTTGCAGGTGTTGCCATATTTTGCTCGAAACAAATATTATATTTATCTATACTCTCGCTCTACAGTGATATAAAAAATTGTTGTTAGTTATTCTCTTTTTTTTTTCATAAATTATCAGTATGTTCTCTTTCTCTCTCTTGCATTTTGTTATGTTTGTTCCTATTTTAAATTTATTTTTCCGTGTACTTGGGTGTTCATATTGTGATAGGTATGTGCTTTTATTTTCATTTTCGTCTAGATTTTCTCTCGGATTTTTAATTCGGTATGATCTTTATTCTCTGATTGCATTCTTTGTGTTTACAGGTTTTTTCCCTCGGGCATTTTCATGAGCCAGGCATGTCAAGTACTGGACGGGGTGTCGACATTTTTGTCTTGAATACTTATTTTCGTCGCTCTAGGATTGTATATATCAAGAAACCCACCAGCGGCAGTGGCGTGCCCGCGCATTTTCATGATCCCCTTCATACATTTTTAGATCAAAATTTGGTTTCTATCAACATTGAAGTAATTCTTGTTGCAGCGGATGAGAGCAGATGGCGCGATTCTATTATCAATGTTATTGTTCGACTAATTGATGATAAAGCATGTCTGCTTCTTGTTTAATGTACTTACCGTGCTGTTGTATCTGAACTCTTTTTCTTATAGATATATAGCTAATTTTATTCGCTACTGTTAAATGTTCTTTACTGATGTTGTATCTGAACTATTTTTTCCTAAAGATTTGGTGGAATGTGTGTTCAGGGCATTGCGGATTTGTTAGATGGATGAGTTCGGCCACGTTTGTTGATAGCGCCACTTCGACGAGTAGTTGTGCGCTTTAGATGATGTGGTATGATGTCAGACTTTTTTTTATAATTTTTTTTGAACTTTGACTCTAATATCTGTAGTTTTTTCTTACGGTTTACTATGGTTGATTTTAGTTTTCAGATCTGACTTTCATTTTTCTAAGTTAATATGATCTTACTGTTTTGATGTTTGTAGAAATTGTGTGAGTTGTTCGATGAGAAAGTTGACGGAGATTGGTTGTGACCGAAAACCAGTATTATAAAGGTCAGATTTTAATTCAGTTCATGAGTTCTTGTTTCTATTACTCGTTGATGTAATCAATTCATTTTCATCGAGTCCATGCTTTTCTCTGTTCCGAAAATAGGGATGTTGTGTTCCAAAATCTTGACTGTGATTGTGTTCAAAAAAAGTCGGAATGTTGATAATGGTTTCTCAGTTGGTCAAAAAATTATGTATGATCGACTGGCTTTCTTCCTTCATAAATATGACCCTCTATTCGGTAGTCAACTTATGTTTATCTTCAGCAATCGCCACCAGGTTCTCACCAAGACCGAGTTCCTATGCGGAGGCACTTTTTAGTACAAATTAAGTTGATGTTTCTTTATCAACCTAGCATTTTCGGCAATCGCATAGTTTCTCGACCTCCTTGATTTTTTAATTTCTCCTGTTTACTGATAACAAATATAATTACAAATTATTATTGGAGAACCCGAGCCTGGAGGAACCCTTGCAGAGAACATGTTCCACATCTGGATAAATGTTTGGTTTGTTTCTTTGATTTTATGCAATAATTTTATTACTATGTAGAGTATAGTTTTTTGGGCTATTTTGACCTGTAAAAATCGTCGTCCGTCTGTGTAGTTTATATACTACTTTTTTCTTTTTGTCTTTCTTCGTCGTTTCTGATGCGTAATTTGTTCGC